TCCATTTACCAGATTTCTTTTTAACAAGAAATACAGGAGAATTCTAAGAGCTGGTTGTTCTTTAATATGGTAAGCATCTAGTTGCTCCTGTACCAGTTGTTTTAAAGCCTGCAGTTTGTCTTCTGTTAATGACCATTTTTAACCCATATTAGTTTCTCAGTTTAACCATTTTAAAGGTATGGCTGTTGGTACCTCTAAAGGTTTGCCAGTTGCCTTGTGTTATTATACTGTGTAAATGGCTGGTGAACTTTGTGTATAGTACATTATAATATTCTGCCCAGAATTATGAGTTTCTGGGACTGCAGGAATGTTAATCTGGGTATTCCATTGCTGCAGCAGGTCACAACCCCATAAATTATTAGCCACATACAGCCTTAGCCTTCCTCTTTGTCCTTCTGGCCCTATTCATTTACCCATCTTGTACTTTGTTTCACTCGAGATAGGGTTCCAATTCCTAGGTATTGAACATCTGTCTCTTGAAGAGACCAATTTGGATGCCAAGATTCTGGAGTAATGATACTCACATCTGTACCCCTGTCTATCAAACCCAAAATTAAAAGGCCATTTATACACACTCTTAGCTTTGATCTTTGATCATTTATAGAAGTCAGCCAGAATATATGTTTTCTATTTCCTACTAGAATTTTTTATTCATCCTCCATGTTTATTCTTTAATCTAGGACAGTATGGCTTTCTATAGAAGGCTTTGGATTTTTTAATTTTCCTAGTGAGGCATGTCCTCCACAGTGAATGGGAATGATTGTACCATTTTTGACTTGGGGCCTGAGAGAAGCACCCCAAGGAGTTTCCCAGTGGTATTGGGTTACCTTGTCTGTCTTTTGTTGTTCTGCATTCAGTGGTCCAATGTTAGCCTTTGCCGTACCTTCTGCATAATCTAGGAGGTTGTTAACTTTTACTTTTGCCATTCCCAGAGAAGACATTATTTCTAGGGATTCCTTCTCTACAGTCCCTTCTCTGGTGTCCTATTTTACTATAGTTAAAACATTTGGCATTTTGATGTCTCCTCATACCTTGGGAAATTGCTTCTCCTTCCCAAGATTCAGTATGATAGTCAAATGTCTCAGTGTTCATTGTATGCAGGATCTATTCATCCATTAGTGCTGATTTAACCCTAAAGGCCCAAGTATTTTTTTGCATTCTAAGTTGGCATTTTCAAAAGCCAGAGATTCAATACGTACTCATCTAACATCTGGGTCTGTTACTCCTATTTGTACAGCCTTAGTTAATCTATGTAAAAAGTCACTAAAGGGTTCTCTCTAGCCCTGTTTAACCCTAGTATATGATTCAATTCGTTTTCTGGTATCTTGAATCCTTTTCCAAACATTTAAAGGCTGCTTTGTGGCATAGGGACAAGAATTGTTCTTCATAAAGTGCTTGAGCCTCTGGGTCAACATGAGTGCCCTCACCAAGAATTTGATCTGGTGAAATCTCAAGTTCTTTGCTTTTCCCTGTTGTTCTAAAATTTTAGCTTCTTCCCTGAAATAACATTTTTATATTAGTTGAGGCCTGTCATCCAGGACTGCTAAAACTAACGGAAGCTAGTCATGTGGCCTTGCTTTAATGCTAGAAGACCATGACTTTATCATCTCCTTGGCAGATGCAGAATGCAAGCCATAAGTTACAACACTTTGCTTAATTTCTTTTAGATCATTCATTCCTAAAGGTATCCATCTACCTTCTTTGGATCCTTGGGGCATTTAGAACTTGATGCTTTGTCAGAGTAGATTACAGGGTAGGAAGCTAAAAGCCTGAGTCAATCATCTCTGACAGATACTGGTGATGCTGAATTATGATGTCTTTGTGCCTTCTTTCCCTGTTCATCAGCTCCAATAATTTCCTCAATTATTTCAAATCTTTTTACTTCTGCCTTTTGTAATGCCTGAATCTCCTGGCCTGTACATATTTCTAGTGATTTAATTGAGGCACCTGGTCCTCATTTTGCACAGGTGATTCCAAGGTCTAAAGTTTTTTCTTTAAAGATAAAATCTCATTTCCTGGAGAGATACTTGATCTGCTAAATGGTCATAACTTTTAAACAAATTTTGATTGCCAAATTTAACAATATGAATTTTCAGATAATTTTTCAGTATACTCTGACATGGATTAAATTTTTTCTGTCAAATTAATGTTACCCTTTTCAATAGTATTATTTTTTAAGTAACTTTATATATTGGATAGTATTAATCCTGTCAGCTAGTTGTTCAATATTAGGCTGTAAAAACTGTATTATTTTTAAAAGTGCCTTATTCTTGGCTCTTTTGTAAAACCATTATATGAAGAAAAAAACCTGACCCCCAATATCCAATAAATGTATATGTCGCAACAAACATACAAGCCTTGCAGACTATAATCCAAAGTATTAGCAAAAATTTACTAAAATTCTCAATGATAATGTTGTCTGCCATGATATAACTTTCAATTTCATTGATTTAGTAATTAATAAAATGTTTATTTGTTTTGAGGCCCGGTAATTGTTTTAGTTGTAATAATACTTATTGTTGTGGTTACAGAATTAAATCAATTCCATAAAAGAGCAATAAGCCCAGAACTCATGAGCAGGGAACACAAACTGGAAGCTGCGCACATTGCTATGTGGCAGGGAATGCAGGAGNAGCAAGAAGCCCAGAGCTTAAGGGCAGGAAACACAAACTAGAAGCTGTACAAGTCACCATGCAGCAGGGCACCTGGAGCTGGGGAGGGGATGTGTGCTAGCTTGGGAAATTTCCACTTTGCCTTAGGCATTTAGCTCCACTGTGGTGGGAGTTAAAAAAAAAAACTGCTTTGTATGTAAATGCAAGTCAAGCAGACAGGGGTAGGAGACTCTGGGCTGTGGACAGCTTATGCCTTTAAGCCAGTCCAACCAGTAGGTGTGGAGTTCAGATCCATGTGGGCACCAGATGAAGACGGATGCTAAAAGGAAATCCCACACTTGCTCAGAATTGAATATAATAGAGGGTTATTTATTTAGGGGTAGACTCACAGATCACAGTCTCTGATACAACAGGGACCAGCAAACAAATACCGCAGCTGGAAAAGAGAGCAACCACATTCTTTACATAAGCATATATGGTGTAAGAGGCCACACCCAACTGGGCAGGTAACTTAAAGGCTACTAGAGGTAGGAATTCCTACAGCGGGCTTTTAGCTTATTTTTGATCCTTGTGGTTTTCATAAGGGATGTTTGTCTTTCCAGACCTGGCTTGTTTTCCATAAGCTCCATCATCTTCCCTCAAGCACTGCAGTATGTTCTTCTTTGCAGCCACGTGAAACCACCTTTAGTACTGGCACCACATTTCCCTTATCAATTTGTCCATGAACTGGCACCTAGGCTGAATCCATGATTTGGGTTCTGTTAGTAGTATGGACAGTCATGCATCTCTGTAGTAAGTTGCTTTTGGTTCCTTTGCTTTAAGGCCATGAGTTAAGTTAGGGCTAGACTATGTGGAAGTCCTATAGTAAATGTTTTGAGACACCTCCATAACTATCTCCGTGATTGTCAGACTGATTTACATATCCTGGTGTGAAGCCTTCCTAACTCCTTCAACCAAGCACTGTATGTGGCCTTTGCGTTCTTTTTTCCTCTATGAGTGTGTGTGTGTGTGTGCGTGCGCGCGCACGTGTGAGTTTTGATGGGGTAGCATAAGCATCTTTGATCACAAATCTTCATATACTAGTCTAGTTATTTCCTTGGTTTCAAAGGGAAGCTGCTGTCATTCCTAATAAACTCCATTAGTGCTCAAGCCCTGTGTGATCACTCATAGGCACTATACCAGGGAATGATAGGCTGTATTACCTTTAATACAGCTGACAAACAAGTTGAGAGAGGTAAGAGATCATGCCAGGAGACAAATTTTCTTCTGCTAAAATGCTCTCAGCTTTTCTCCGGGCATCAACCTTATCATGCCTAGATCCCAAGCATGCACCCATTAATGCACCCGTAGCTAGGAATTATAATTATATAAATCTTTACAGCCCCTGCAATCATTGAATTCACTCAACTATACCCACTCCCCTCTTCCTGTTCTGTCCACTGAAATGGTGCAGCTATTAGGTACATGGATAGGCTTTCCAGAAGTGGAAGATGACCTGTTTCTCTGTCACTGGCCAACCACGGCATCTGTGCTCTCCAAAGAATGGAGAGCACAAGTCGATTGTGCTACTAAAAGACTGAAAGAAATGGGACTTGCCAAGCAACCTCAATCTGTGTCCAGTGGTTTTCTCCTAGGGTTGATTTTGCTTTTCTCTGGTGTTCTCTTGTCTCAGCAAGGGATGCCAGATAACCAAGTATGGCCTGAGCTGCAGGTTATGTAGAGCACATATTGTTCCCAGGAATCTCGCGCATTGATCCTCTCTGGTTGATGTGGCCATGGCTGATGGAGAGAGGGGTCCTTTGGAGTTGGATGAGGGGAGGTCTCTTTGATCGGTTCTGTTGTCCTGCCCAAGGAAGTGGGACTGCAAATGTATCACTGTTCTTAAGACCTTAAGTGCTAGTGTTTAGGAGCCAGTGCGTTTGTAGTCCCTGGAACCTCAAAGATGTCCTCTGAGACAGGGCTCTTTCGAATCACATTTATGTGGAGGGACTGAGAGCTTAAAGGAAATGTTAAAGAAGAGGCTAAGTGTGAAGTATCGCTTAAAGAGGCATCAGCATCTTACATTAAGAAATAGTGATCTGTGGGCTCCATGTGAAGGAATTCTGCCCTGCGGTTTTTTTGTGGCACACATAAACAAGTACAAGGAAAACTGGGCTAAAACCAATGTTACTAAGTCAAAGAGCATTTGCTTGTTGGTAAACAAAACAAAAGAAAAATGACTGTACAAAGCAGTTAGGACCTAATATTTCTATTGCTGAAACAAACCATCAAGGCCTCTTCTGAGATGTGATCTGTGAGTGCTGGTAGGTGCTCCAGGACTGTGTACAGAAAGAGCTGTTTTAAACAGACCCTCTGTGTTTCTAATATGTGCTTTCTTTTTTTCTAAAGGGATGGACAAAGAGCAGCAGTTAGAGAATTCAAGATCACCCCTGAAGAAAACAAAACTAGTTAAAATCAAGAAAAAGAAACATGTCAGGTTTCTGTTACTGTAGAGAGCTGCGTGGAGCCACACCTGATGGCGATGTAGAGAGCTGCGTGGAGCCGCACCTGATGGTGCTGGCTTCCACCCTCTGTGATCCTGAAAGCAAGCGCTCTCTGTGATAATCAACTCCTATTATTGGCTAAGGCCTGACTCATGCTATTATCACGCAATGATTATCAGCTGCTTGCATATGCGTGGACCTATGGGCAGTGCCCACCTGGCAATTCGGGGTTGGTGGCCTGTGCCTACTTAAGGGCTGGGAGAGGTTTGCCTGGAGAGAGAGAGAGAGAGAGAGAGAGAGAGAGAGAGAGAGAGAGAGAGAGAGAGAGAGAGAAAGAGAAGGAGAAAGCTTGCTGTGAACAAGGTCCTGAATAAACTGCTTGCAAGAAGAGCTCTGGTGTTGCGGTGTTGCGTCTTCCTTGCTGGTCGAGGAGTGCCGCCACATGTTACCTCAGCAAGCTGACAAGAAAACGAAACCCTCTTACCCTGGAGATGCAGATCAGGAGGTGTTAAAATGTGAATGCCGCTACTGCCAAGCTTGTGTGGGGACCACGTCCGGAGTCTGTGGGACCAGGACAGAAGCAACCTCTCATTCACCCTCCCCAGAAAAGCTGATACAAGACTTCCATAACCTGACACTCAACCCTCGTTCCACCCAGCCCCCTGTTCTGCCAGAAGGAATACAAAAAAGAGATAACAAAGTGCATTGGCAGCAGAAGAACAAAAAGGGGTTTCAAAAGCTTCTCCCCGAATGGAGAGAATAACTCTGGCAATGTCATCCTCATGTGAAGAAGATCAGAACCTACACTATCGTGAGTGTCAACATCACCAATCCCTAGGGTGATATGGTTTTGGTTGCATGGTCAGTAGGAGTATCAGCATCCAGCTTGGTGTCAATCATACCTTTGGTTGGCAAGTTTCAAGGCTATCCCACAAATGTAGCAGCCTTTTTCTTAGTAGTTTTGACATCCTCCCTGGGGCATTCTGGGAAGAGATACTCTTTGGCAAGGGCCACCACACAGCAATAATTCTATACTCCCAATAATGCTGTTTCCAAAACTTAAACAGGTTTTGACTCCTCCTTCCTTATGTTGTTGCCAATAAAGGTAGAACATTGATGTAGAGTGTATGTCTTTCTGTTTTCAAAACTGTGTCCATTCCGTTTTATCATCTGGAACCCAGAAGAATCACCAGGACTTACTGAGGTGCGTGTGTGTGTGTGTGTGTGTGTGTGTGCGTATGTGTATGAAATTTTTGTTTCAAATCCATTATATCAATGTAATGAAATATAATTCTTTATCTAAAAAGAATCAGAACATATCAAGCATTCTTCATGTAATTAGTTCCCCAGTTGTTTACCATATGCGTTATACAGCTACATACATAATACACTCTAAGCAGGGCACTGACGCTGATACACTGGCTGTGTAGACCTCTCTGTCACTGTATCATGTATGTAAATTCATGCAATGACCACTGCAATTAAGTTTTATCTCTTCTCTCAGAAAAAATTTTACTCATGCTGGTTTTTATGATGGCACCCAGCAGCATGCTTCAACTGGGACAGCCATTGCATTGTTTGCTAGTTCCATTATCATTCTATTTCACAAACATCATATAAAAATGGTTGGGCTGGCCTTTTCCACTCACCACCGTACTCTTAATTCTATACACTTGATTGCATTTATCAAGATTCCATTCTGAGACTATAGCTTGTGGTCCAGCTGCTTGCCCAGCCTGTGTGGGCACCTAGATTTGATTCTGCAGTAACACACACACACAAACACACACACACACACACACACTTCACTGGGACAATGCATACTCCTAATCTGGTTCCATATACTTGCAGTGCTATTGCAAATTTCACCTCCCCCTTTACTGGACTCTGCTGAGTGACAGTCATAGAGAGAGACAATTTAAAATGCATCCTATCAAGGGAGAGTTATTATTCAGTGCTGCAACATTGTTGCCATTGTTTTTGCTTGCCGTGTACACACATGCAAGTGTTCACATGTGTGTGCTCATGTTATTTTTTTTTTTTTTAGGTATAGGGTCTGGTGAGATTTCCACCATCCATGTTGGCATGTCAACTGATGTTGTCATTGTGGAGGTCATGTTTAGGTGACCATAATTTTGAGATTTTATGGGTGCAGTTTCTCCGGCACATATAGAAGACACTTTTCATTCGCAAACATCCTGGTCTTTTGGCTCTTACAATCTTTTTTCCCCATGTTTCAGAATATTCCCTAAGCCTTTGGCATAGGCGTTGTGTTGTTGATGTATTAGTTGGGGATGTGCCCCCACAATCATTCTCCCTGTTTTCCCAAGTGTGCATTCCTGTAACAGCCTCCCTCTCCTTCAAAGTGAAGCCCCTTCAATGAAGGGTGAGATGTACTATTCTCATCTATACACATAAGGATAAGTGTTTAGAATGTGCTTGGAAAGCGTCCTGGTCTAGGAAGTGGCAGTATTGGGCTGCCCTCTAGTACCCATGCCCTTACTATATTCTAACATTTTGTTTGTTTCTTTTGTTTGTCTTTCATGTTTTTTTTTTTTTATTCTTCTCATTGTATATTGTTGTATTGGGTTTTAGGACTCTTTGTTTCCTTGTTTTTTGAGACAAGGTTTCTCTGTAGTTTTGGAGCCTGTCCTGGAACTAGCTCTTATAGACCAAGTTGGCCTTGCACTCACAGAGATCTGACTGCCTCTGCCTCCTGAGTGCTGAGATCAAAGTCGTACACCTCCACCACCCAGATCAGGTTTTAGTATTCTTTTGTTTGTTTTTCCCTTTTGTGCTGATGTAAAGTTTTTCCACACAATATGTTTTGATCATGTTCTTACCCTATTCCAGCTCCTCCCACATTCATTTGTCCTGGCCAACTATTCTGGAGCTTGGGGTCTGCTCTGGAATGTGGATAATAGACCCAGTGATATTCCAGTGTAGAAAATTGGTTTTCCCTTTGCCAGCAGGCATCAACTGCAAATAGCTACATGGTCAGTAGTGAGACACTATGTCTAATTCCCTTTTTCAATGCTGGGGCCCTGTCTGGCTTGAACCTGTACAGGTCTTATGCACACTGCCAGTCTCAGCGAATTCTTAGGTGTATTGGTCCTGTTTCATCAAAAAGACAATTTTTCCTTTGAGTCACATTTGTCTCTGGCCTTTACAGTCTTTTTTCCTCCTCTTCCACATACCTTCCTGATCCTTGATAAGAGGCTTGTGATAAAGACATTATATTTTGGACTGAGTGCTCCAGTCTCTCATTCTCTGCACATTGTCCAATCATGTTTCTCCATGTTAATTTTCATACGCTGCAAGAAAAAGCTTGTGCAGTTTTCATTGAAAGAGGTTTATGGGTATTTCAGTATTTCATTAGGAGTCAATTTCTACTTATAGCTATGGTCCTTTTCAAGAACAATAATAGTAGCTTTTCCTGTAGGCCCATCATCTAAGCAGTCTTAGATTCTTCAATACTTCAAAACTGTTAGGTTTGGTTCCACTTCATGGATTAAGTCTTAAATTAAATAAAATAAAATAAAATAAAAACCAAGCAGTGGTGGCACACGCCTTTAATCCCAGCACTTGGGAGGCAGAGGCAGGCTCCAAAGCTACAAAGAAACACTGTCTTGAACCCCCCCCCCAAAAAAAAAACATACCACCATACCCCCTAAGCCGGCCCTTTTGTCTGTGAGGTCCTTGGATCCCAGCAAGAGGCCTTGCTTCTGTACTGAGGAGATCTGGAGTGGAGAGTGAGTGGCTACCCAGCCAGAGGGTCCCGGGGAATGGAGTCCAGTCATCCTCCAATTCCCCAATCTTTTGTGGCCAACCAGCTGGGCATGTTCCTGGCTACTGACTTTCTTTCCTTATCCCATCACATCTTGCCCCCAAGCACTCATTTCCATCTGTGTGTTCCCTGGATCCCCCAACTCAGCCTGCTTCAGAGCTGAGGGTCTTCAGAGCCAGTGGCGAGTGGTCCTGCTACTGGGGCTTCTTTGTATCACACCAGCCTGTCCCCGAAGACTGCCCTTTTGTCTGAAAGGTCCTTGGAGCCCAGTAAGAGGTCCTGCTCCTGTACTGAGGAGTTCCTGTGTGGTGAGTGAGTGGCTGCCCAGCTGGCCAGTCGCAAGAATGGAGTCCAGGCCCCCTACAATTCCATAAAATTTTCTTGGCATCCAGCGGGGCATGTTTCCGGCTACTGACTTTTGCTACAAAATCCCATCTTGCCCCTAAGCACTCCTTTTCATCTGTGGGGTCCTTTGATCCACCAGGACAGCCTGCTTCAGGGTGGAGGGCATCTGAGATCCAGATACACTGCTGAAGGGATCTAAGAGAGGGTAGACTAAGATATTCCCAAGGACGCAGTCAGCCACAGTAAAGATTGGACCAAGATGCCAAGATTCTCCTGGCCTCATTTGAAAAAAAAGTTGGGCAGGTGACAATGCAAGAATTCCTCCAACAACCTAAAAAGCAACATGTTAACACAAGAACCCAGCAAACATGCAACAGGAAGACATGAACAGCCTAACCCAGAAGAAGAAGAAGAAATCAACTTTAAATGTAACCTTATGAAAATGATGGAGACCCTTAAACAGGAAGTGAAGAACTCTCATAAAGAAATGGAAGAGAAGACAAACATAAAGTTAGAAGAAATTAATAAATCCCTCAAACATACCCAAGAAAACCAAGAAAAAAACAATCAAACAAGTAATGGAAATAGTTCAAGACTTGAAGACCAAAATGGAGGTAATAAAGAAAACACAAACCGCGGGAAAGCTGGATATGAAAAATCTGGGTAAAAGAAAAGGAAATACAGAGACAAGTATAACCAACAGAATGCAAGAGATAGAAGAAAGTATTTCAGGTGCTGAAGATACTATAGAGGAAATAGACTCATTGATCAAAGAAAACAGCAAAACCAACAAAATCTTAACACAAAACATCCAGGAAATCTGGGACACCATGAAAAGACCAAACCTAGGAATAATAGGAGTAGAAGGAGAGGAATTCCAGCTCAAAGGCCCAGAAAATATATTCAACAAAATTATAGAAGGAAACTTTCCCAACCTAAAGAAGGATATTCCTATGAAGGTACAAGAAGCTTACAGAACACCAAATATACTAGATCAAAAAAATCCCCTCACCATATAATAATCAAAACACAAAACAAACAGAATAAAGAAAGAATATTAAGAGCTGCAAAGGAAAATGGTCAAGTAACATATAAAGGTAAACCTATCAGAATTACACCTGACTTCTCAATGGAAACCATGAAAGCCAGAAGGTCTTGGATAGGGTGCTGCAGACACTAAAAGACCATGGACTTTAGACTACAATATCCAGCAAAGCTTTCTTTCACCATCAATGGAGAAAGCAAGATATTCCATGACAAAAACAGATTTAAGCTATACGTAGCCACAAACCCAGCCTTACAGAATGCACTAGAAGCAAAACCTCAACCCAAGGAAGCTAACAACACCCTCAATAGCACACATATCTGAAAACCCTTTACCAGCACAACTCAAAGAGTGGAAACACAAATACTACCACCAAAAAAAAAAAAAAAACTGGAGTTAACAAACAATGGTCATTAATATCGCTTAAAGTCAATGGACTCAATTCACCTATAAAAAGACACAAGTTTAGAAAATGGATATGAAAACAGGATCCAACATTCTGCTATTTACAAGAAACACGCCTCAGTGTCAAAGACAGACACCATCTGAGAGTAAAGGGTTGGGAAAGGGTTTTCCAATCAAACAAACCTAAGAAACCAGTGGGTGTGGCTATCCTAATATCTAACAAAATTGATTTAAAACTAAAATCAATCAAAAGAAATGGAGAAGGACCCTTTATACTCATAACAGGAGCAATACACCAGGATGAAGTCTCAATCCTTAATATCTGTGCCCCTAATATAAAAACACCCACATATGTAAAAGAAACATTACTAGAACTCAAATCACACATCAAAACCCACACTGTAATAGCAGGAGATTTCAACACTTCTCTCTCACCAATGTAGAGGTCAAACAGACAGAAACTTAACAGAGAAATAAGAGAACTAACAGATGTAATGAAGAAATTAGACTTAACAGACATACATCTATAGAACAT